TTCTTTCTACCCCTTGGAATGGAATGAAATTTGATACTTCTTCCTTCTAGTTTTGTGTCCATACCATTTATATTTTGGCATTTTAATGGCTTTTCATGTTAATAAATTAAAGGGGAGCTGGTGTTGACTGAACAACTTGAGAAATATGTCTCTATGGACAGTGTTCTGTGGTCCTTTCTCAGTGATGTGGGGAATAAATTGATTTTTTTTCTCCTTTGAGATTGGCAGTTGGTGGTTAAATTGTGGCAGTTAAAAATGTTTAATTATGAAATTATGTCTCCTTTTACTTGTTAAGTTATTTGCTTTAATTAATCCTCCAGGGTCTTACTTTGTATTCTACTTTTATCTCCTACCAAGAATGGGAAGAGAAGGAAACAGAACTCTTAGATGATGGCAAATGGAAATTAATGCAGATAAAGGAGACCACAAGCCTAAGAGGCATGAAAGACAATCAAAATAATTTAAAGAAACACAAAAGCTGAACTGTTTTAAGCTCAAGCAGGGGTTTTGCGGGTAAGGAGTGAGAAAATTGAGGAAGAATGGAAGTTCAGATAGAGCCACTTAAATCTTTTTTAAGCTCAAGCAGGGCTTTTTATATATATAAGAAGGGCTCGGGTTCCAATCTGAGTTCACGATGTTCCAACTGCAAATAAGAGGCCTCCTTACCATAGTAGACGATTGCTCTTTCCACTTCTTGTTTGACATGCTATAGGTTTTGAGAGTGGTATGGTGAACAGCTATGTACATGGCTAGATAATATTGGAATATGGTATGTAAATGCATAATGGGTTGATGGAAATGACCCCTCTAATGTGCATCCAACAAATGAAAACTTATATATTAGGATATTATGAGGATATTGGGTATTGGCAAAGGCTGTGATTAATCAATTTTGTAGTTATAGCTTAGTCTTCAACAGCCTCACTTGGGCTGTTTGGATTTCCATTCCTATCCTCTTTCTACTTCTATGAACTGATGTTGTCAGTGTTTTTGTATCGAATTTCATATGTCTAGATTTAAGGAAAGGGACCAAGAACATGTAATCAGAGGAAATGTTTTGTTCTGCTAGTACTTGGAGCTTGATATAATGTATTCTACTATTCTGGTTCTTTTTCTTGTATTGAAATACATTTCTGGTGTCTTTTAATTTGCATCTATTTTGGGGCCGCTTGTGCTGTGTGCCGTGCTCAAAATTCTATGCAAGTGAAGAATTTGATCGGGGAGGAGGAAGGAAGAGAAGAAATAAGTGAAGAAGATGTGGACAGAGTAATTTCCTTATAATTTAATTACTGAAAAAACAAAAGAAGGTGCAATGGCAATTATGTAATTAATTAAACAAGAAGTGGACAACAAGATTGAACCACGTCATCATTTTTGCAACAGGGCATTTGCACATCATTATTGCAAAGAAAAAATAAGCGTGTTTTATTAGGGAAAATGTTTCATGAGGAAAAATGATTGAGAGAATTTATTTATACAATTTTTTTATATAATTTTATATCTTATTTAATGAGTTTTTTTATTTTATTATATTTTATGATATTATATATATATATTTAACAATAAATATAAGTGGTAAAAAAAATTATATAAAAAATTATTTACATATCATTATTCTTTCGTTAATTAATATGTAATATTAACAAAAGGTTCATCTAAAACCTAAAAAGTTGAGAAAATTAATTTTAGAGACAAAAAACTGGGAGAATTTCTTTAATTCAAGAAGCAAATTGAGGAACTAAAATTTGGGGTTAAAGCTTTTTCTTATATTGCTTGGCAAATTCCAAAAAATTTATGAACTGTGTGGACTGCGGACGGATGATGATTTTAAGTTTTTACTGTTACTTTAATTTGATCATTCAAGACTGGATATGGTTTCCTCACTTGCTTGAAACTTTTGAATTTCTGTTTCGATCAGTTTTCTAATTTTATATCATTGATCTTCAATGTTAGTGCTTCAGAATTTTTGTGCTGTTCTTGCCATTTGCATGTCATGAACCTCATTGATAATTAGAGGAACTGATTTGTCCTCCTAGAATTTCTTTGTATTTTGATGATTATTGTCCTGAGTTTGCTCCTAAAATTGCTATATATTTGAACTTCTTTTTCAAGTTGCAATATTTTTTTCTGGCCGTCAAGTTTCAATTGTTGTTTTGCTTTTGCATTTTTAGGCATAAAATATCTTTCCCATATTAATTTTGGACCTATTTTTCTTAAACCGTGTGATTAAGAGGTTTCTTTAAACCAACAAATTAAACAGGAGCAAACCTATTCACTTACAATAAAATTTTTTACAATTATGGTTGAATACATATCCATTTATATGAGATAAAATAGAGAGGGAATCATTTTTTCTTGAGCAAAAGTAAAAAATTCAAAGAATTTGTTTAGAAACAGAATATGAAGCTTTTCCTTACTTTTATAATCTAATATAGGCAAATTTTTTTATTCAATGCTTAACAAACTTTATTGATAAAATTTCATAAATATAAGATTGATAATAAAGAAAACAAAGCATGACATATCAATCATTAATCCCACCCAACAATTGTTAAAATTTCTCATAATTAATCTAATATCATGATAAGTAATACCAAAAAATCTTGACACCAGTATATGTTGTTATTCTAATAAATCTAAATAAAATTATTATCCAACATCTCAAATGGGATTTATAACCATTACAATCCTAAAATAAAAGGAAGGCAAAACCCCCCATCAAGCCTTTGAATTAAACCTACAATTTTAACTAAACTCCTAAACTTTTTTCAAAGTAGAAAAGTTCCTAAACCTCATGATTTGTGCAATTTTGCCCTCTTCTATACCTTTCTTTGTTTGCAGCTTTGCAATTTAACGTTAGGAAAAGGGCAAAATTGCATAAATCGTGGGGTTTAGGGATTTATTGGTTTAAAAAAAAGTATAAAGACTCAATTAAAAAATGGGATCAAATCAAGGGCTTAACATGGGTTCTGCCTAAAAAAAGTAACATTGAGAACAGTAAAATTCCCTATGTTTTCCCCCTTTACTTTCTTTTGCGTCTGACTGATATTTAGTAGTTTCTCATTATACCTAAAATTTCCATTCAAGAACCCCAAGATTTGTAAATTATTGCTTGACCATTTCGAGATTTTTGGTGAAATTTCTGCAGTGCTGGTCCATGAAACTTGCCGCATCCTTCCCACTGACATCAAGCTAAGCCATCGCCTTATTCCCAACTAGACCTGGCAAACGGGCGGGTTGGGTCAGGTTATGGGTCGGGTCAACTCGGGTGACGGGTTAGACCGGTTGGGTTATAAACGGGTTGTGGGTTGGAAACATCTAACCCTAACCCGACCCTAATGGGTTATAGGTTAACCCGCGGGTTAACCTTATTTCATTTTTTATAATTATTTTTTGTTAATTTTATTATACACAAATAAAATTATATATATCTAAATATAATT